CAAACTAAAATCTAAGCAATTTGCATTAAATGTGTTGAAATTCTCCGGCACATCAACACCCCCAACTTAAACTCTTGCTTGTCCTCAAGCAACTAAAATGACACTATCCTATTCTAGACTCCATCTAAACGATATGAAACAATAGTGACCGTGGACAGTGTTAGTTGTTAGTACTACAAGCATGCACTTTTGTTTATTTACCCTTCATGAACCATCATTGTTATTTTACAAAAAAAACTAATCAGCTTGTGAAACTTTGAGCCTCCACCAATTTGACAAAATGTTACTCTCAGCTGAGTGCACTTGCATTCGACTTCAAGAACTCAACTTCTGTCCAACCTCACAATTCATGTGCCCTCACTAGAAAGAAAGTCCCAAACTCACAATATTTATAATGACAACAAAAGGGACGGATTCACAAAGACACTCACTCTCAAAAAGAGTTTCAAGTATTACAACATGACATACCATAGGCTTGCCCTTATTTTAGTTCATCGCTTTATTCTAAGAACGTTCAGTTGGAGATCCCATAAGGACTTTTTAAGCTTGTAATGTAGGTTTAGGGAAGGGTCGGATAAGCATTTGGGTACAAGTGACTACACCCTCCTTGAACACTACTCACATTTTTCTTTCTTGTTACTCTTTGCTTCTTTTCAAACCATATAGCCCTCATTAGCTCCTAATTTCCATCATTGAACCACCTTAAATAGCTCTCTAATTTTCTTCAAGGCTCCATATTTATATATATACATACATCTCTTTTTCTTTTCTTTTTCTTCTTTTCCCTTACATTTTTTTTATTTTTCTTTTGGAGCTTGAATAGTTTCATATCTTGAGGTATACTTTCATACACTCACTGTACAACCTAGCCAATTTCTGGCTTGACATCACACCCCCAACTTAAGCTTTTAGCCTAATTCTCAATTTCAAGGAGGGACGGGTTCAAAAGAGGGAATTATTTTACAAAAGGGGAAATGTTTGTAATGAGGTGGCCAAATAAAAGGTTAAAGGCTCAAAATGGGGTAACTAGTGATAATATCTATACAATGGATAGCTTGAAAGGCTAACTGGTTTTCCAAAATCACAAAGATGCCTAAGTTCATTTCTCCAACCAAATGTAATTATCATTAGGATCGAAAGACCAACCGGGCAAGTTCTAGATGGCAGAAGTAAATACACGAATTATTTATACAAAGACTCACACACATGACACACAAACTGTTTGACATAACATAGTTTTAGCCCTCGAGTCAACACTTGGCAACTCGAAGCTTTCATCATATTTACATGTATAACTCTAGGTAAACATAGAGTCAAAGAGCGAGCCTCAAGTTCACACAGTTGATTTCTTTTTCTTTTTTTATATTAATGGAAGGGTATAGGCTATTTACAGGCACACATGCTTGAAACTAGACAAATTACACCAAACCGGTCAAAATGTTTCATTCTACTGCCATGGTTCTACTATTATACCCTTGGAAAAGAACCCGGCGAAGAAAAACCAAGGGGGATTCATTACTAATTACTAAAGATGAAAATACAACTATCTACTTGTTTTTGTTTTTTTTAATATACAAAGATAACCTATGTACAAAAACAACACAAGTATATACAAAAGTTACAGAAGTTTGCTTACACAAAAACATGTACAACAGTTCAATTTAAAAAAAGTTTGTACAAGGCTATCCCACCCCCAACTAAAAAGCATGCATTGTCCCCAATGCATAAGAATGTAAGATAGAGTTTAGGGGCTCCCTGAGGCGCACTAAGCGCTATGGGAGTCGGAAGCCGGCTGAATGATGGTAGGGTCACCCTCTGATGCTAGAGCTAGGGCCGATGAGATCTCGACCTGAGGAGTGACCTCCACTGATAGAGGAGAGATCTCCAACTGACCCGACACTAGAGCTGGGGCCTGTGAGCTGCTAGCCTCTCCTGTTGATAGCTGAGTGGTCGATGGATTGCTTGGGCGACCATGTCTGCTAGCGAATGTTCTATCGCCTTCTGAACATTTGCTTGTTCTTCCTTTGTAACTGCAGGGACAACAACCTGCTTACCTTTCTCCTGAGGGCCCTCATCCTCCTCGGACCATGACTCCTAATTAGTCTCTCCCTCATCTGCCTCCCCACCTTCGGACTCTGCAGAGTGTCCGGAATCTTCCTCAGAAGGGATGTCAATAAGTGTAGGGGAAGATGGAGGTTGGGAAGCCCCGACAGTCTGAGGTGCAGGAGCTGTAATCAAGGTAGAGAAATCAAAATCTAATCCAGCCACGGACGTGCCCGCTCCCTGCTTTCCTTCTTTGGGCATGAATTAGGATAGATCGAACTCTAGAGTTTGCATTTTCTGAAGCTCAGTCTTCAGTGTGGCACCCTCATCATAGAGCTTTGGCAAGTCTCTAACCTCACCCCACTCCATCTTTTAAATCCACACCTCAAACTACTTCAGGCGATCCCCATAAGATGTTTGTTGTTGTTGGAGGGCCGTCATTGAGGACTGGATAGGGGTCAATGCTTGCCTGATGAGTGTGGGGAGGTTCTTCAGAAGCTGGTCTACCTTAGCATTTGCATGTTGAGCTAAGAAACCGAGCCTTAAAACGGCTGGTAGTAGGGTAGAAGGTTGTGCAATGGTGGCCTGAGAGGTGGGGTATGGAGTGGAAGTGGAGGCCAATGTGGCCTGAGGAGAAGCAGGAGTCTGGGAGTCTGAGATCTCTGTATCAGCAGGAATCGGGGTCTGAACCTTTGGGGGAGCAACAACTACCGCGTCATTAATACACGTGATATAAATATCCTTCAGCGTTTTCCCCATTTTGTCAGTGTATGGCATTGAAGGGACTTCCACAGCCTTACAGAGGGTTGTGATCAAGCACGGGAATGGAAGTGACATAGTTGTCTGGTTGGCCCGAATCCCTAACTCTCGGAAGATAAAGTCACCCACATCAATTTTTATCCTAATCATAATGCATGCAATAAGAAAAGCTTTCTCAATGCTTATATCAGTCTTATTTCGGGACGGTATCAATCGAGAGGTGACAAAGCTGAGCCAGAATCTACCCACTCGTGTGAGATCTTCCTTGAATATTTTATGCAGAGGGTCAATCCAAGCAGGAGTCCCCTTGGCTATCACTGAAGCTATCCAACCACGCTCATTATCCCTGTTGGCCTATTTGGTGTCATACTCAATTGTTCCCGATCTCCAGTTTGGGAAGTAGAACTCATTTATAGTATCACTGCTACAAAACACCTCCTTCCCCCGAACCAAGACAGTATCACAGAAAACTTTGTTGCGCTTGTGGTAAGGTGTCTTGGAGGCTCCATAAGATGCATAAAATTCACGCACCACTGTTTCATTGTAATCATCAGGCAGCTTAGTGAAGCACTCCTAGTTTCTAGCCTTGATGTTCTCCAGTATGTGAGGGTACTGCTCTTGTAGCCCGTTCAGACTCAGTTGTTTCTCAGCAAGGATTTTCCATTTTGTGAGCCCTTCTCTATACAGCTCCTTGAGCCTTCGACCCCAAACCTGAGTTTGAAATCATCTCCTCTTTTTCTTCTTGCCTCAGCTTGTAGGTCAACTAATGGCAAGGTCTCCTCCTCATCAGACTGGGAGGGATGTGCAGCAGTAGCGTCCGGTCGTGAACGTTTGGCTTATTGTGTTTGACGACTGGTGGAGGCCTTTTTCTTGGAAGAAGATATATGTTTTTTGGGAGCCATATCTACAAAGAAATAAATTGTGAGCAACACAATAGACATCAGAATAAAAAAGCACAAAGAAAGTCAAGTATGCGACAGGGTATGCAGTCGCATAACCATTGTGCGGACCGCAAACCTGTCGCAAAACTTCTGTCTGCTGAAGGGATATAATTATGTGATGGTTTTGCAATGACATATCCATTATGCGGTTTGCATACACATCGGAAAACTATTTGCTTGGAAAGGTCATCACACTATGCGATCGCAAAATCCACCGCAAAGATGAATTTGCGATCGCAAATTAGCCGCAAACAATATGTTACAAAAAGCCAGAAACTGTTTAAATATGCGGTGGCTTTGCGGTCCGCATATCACTTATGCGATCGCAAAGCCTCCGCATTTTGCCATATTCCTCATGTTACCTAGGGTTTCCTATGCGGCAACAATGCGGACCGCAAATCGACTATGCAGTCTGCAGAAGTCTTCGTCCTCAATGTTTTGAACTCCACCCTATACAATGGTGAACCAGCACCCCAAGCCTAACTAAATATCCAAGAAGCCCCCCATTATGAGCAAATACCCAATAACGATGAGGAAGTAAGAATAAACAACGAAAACAGGAGAAACACACAAAAAAAATTAACACTAAAAATTAGGAAAGAAATTGGGAAAGGAAAACATACCTGGAATGGAGAATTTAGAACACTTTTGGAGATGAATTCAACAAGCGGGATCGTTTGTTTACACTAGCCGTTTGCCTTTCTCCTTTTTCATTTTTTTTGTTTAAGAGGGAAATCTGAGTGCCGGTGTGTGTTTATGTGTGAAGGGGTAGAGGGTACTTACCTGTGAAGTTTGTAGTGGACAAGTCACCGCATAACACCTTATGCGACCGCATAAGTGTTATGCTGTGGTTTCAACTAGAGTTGCTCATGGACACAATGCGGTGCACTTGTGCGATCGCATAACTGAAATGTGGTCCGCAAAGTGCATGTCCTCGCCGCATTTCTACCACCAATATTTGCCAAACAAAATGTCCAGGTCTGCGACCACTATGCGGTCCGCATAGTTAAAATGCGACCGCATATGTGTAGCAGACTTCCTATGGTGACTTTTCCTCCCTTTCACATGCAATTTTACCCTGTGTTATGATCTTTTGAATCACCTGCACTCTAACACGCACTTTAAATTACTCAATTAAATCTATCTAATAAAAGTAAAAAATTTAAAGGATAAAAAGGATGTTACCACACATGGGTTGCCTCCCATGAAATACTTGATTTAACGTCACGGCACGACGAAGTTGTCCTTTCTTTGGGTTCACCCATTGGTCGGACATGGACCACCTTTGAGAGCCAACTGTTCCACCAAGTATTTTTCTCCATCTGTGCCCAAGTAGTGCTTGACTCGCTGACCATTTACTTTGAAGGTTTGGAGCCCATCCTCCGATTCTAATTCCACAGCTCCAAAAGGGGATACATCTACCACCTTGAACGGATCGGACCATTTCGATTTGAGCTTGCCCGGAAACAATTTGAACCTTGAGTTGAAGAGCAAAACCAAGTCACCGGACTTGAACTCCTTTTTCAAGATCTTTTTGTCATGGACGAACTTCATCCTTTCTTTGTACACAGCTGCACTTTCATATGCATGGAAATGGAATTCCTCCATTTCATTGAGTTGTGTTAACCTCAAATTTAAAGCTTCAGCCCAGTCCAAGTTCAACCTTTTTAAATCCCACATGGCTTTGTGCTCTAGTTCTACGGGTAGATGACAAACCTTGCCGAAGTATAACTGATAAGGAGAAGTGCCAATAGGGGTTTTGTACGCTGTGCGGTATGCCCACAACGCGTCATCTAGCTTCCTTGACCAGTCGGTCATGTTTGCATTAACAGTCTTTGCTAGAATATTCTTTATCTCCTGGTTGGAAACTTCAACTTGGCCACTTGATTGGGGATGATAAGGTGTGGCCACCTTATGCTTGACGCCATATTTCTCTAGTAGCCCCGTGAAAGCCTTGTTACAGAAATGAGACCCATCATCACTAAGAATGGCTCTAGGAGTGTCAAACCGCGTGAATATGTTTTTCTTTAAGAATGTGGTCACACTCCTGTCACACCTCCTTTTTACTACCCCCAGAAGGGGTATAAGAGAGTTTTTTCTAATTTAAGTGACAATCGAAATGGGATTATTTATTAGATACAGAGTCGCCACTTGAGATAATTTATGGTGTCCTAAGTTACCGGTTCAAATCCCGAATCGAGGAAAGATTGACTCTGTTTTATAGTCCGCGAACACAGAAATCAGGGTAAGGAATTCTGTTAACCCGGGAGAAGGTATTAGGCATTCCCGAGTTCCGTGGTTCTAGCATGGTCGCTTTGATCATACTTGGCTTATTGAAATTGCTCAATTACTCATTTTAGAACCTATGTGCATTCCCCCTTTTAATTAAGAAATTATCTTGAAATGGGACACGAGTACATGTACTCATTTTTGGTGCGTCAAAAATCATGTCACACGAATGTGTCCACAATTAATAACACTTTATTATTATTAAGAAAAGTTTGGCCAAAGTTGCGCGAACGCATACTCCGGTTTTGTTTTTAAAATCGTAATCATGTCATGCAAACGTGTCCATGACCACGATAATATATTAAACGTGCCTAAAGCAAACTACGATCATTTGTTATTTGTTATATCTAAATTATTAATTAATACAAGGTCCATGTATGATTAAATTGTGGATGGCACACCTCGAACTATATAATCCTAAATTAATTAGTAGCCCATGAAAACCCATTTCGTTATTAAGAAAAGTTTGATCGAAGTTGCGCGAACTCATACTCCGAATTTATTTTTAGAACCGTAATTATGTTACGCGACGTATACACAATCACAATGGATTTGATTTGCTTAGGAGGCATAACGCAACAACAGTAGCCCATAATTGCATCTCTCTTAAACACTCATTTGCAACAATACAACATTTAATAATTTTATGCATTGAGAATATATGCAACCTTTTCACATATTAAAATGCCTATTGGAGCACCCGCATACCGGTAATAACAGACCCTTTCACATATTAAAATGGATACTTACGTAGGGAATACTTTGGTGGATATGTACTGCAAATGAAAATACTTATCACAAAATTTGATTGTAAGTTTCAAAAAATTCCAACAAAGGCTTGAGGACAATACTGTGATGCTCCCCATTTGTGACCAAAATTTAGTTAAATGAACAAAGAATCATGTCTCCAAAACTATTTTCAAGATCATTAAGACTAAAGCCACAACTTAATTGAATACTACAATTTCATAAGGATGCTAACATATTTTATGGGTGAATGTCAACCCGAAAATCTTCAACTAATAGATTGAACCTAAAATCTAAAACCCACCCCTAATCAATGCGCGACAATAAAAGGTAATAGCTGAACACAAAAAACAACACGAATTTGTGCAATGTAGCCCGTACTACAGTTCTTTATAACTTAAAAGAAACCAGAATTTCAATCAAGCAACCCAAATATACATATTTCAGTTCCAAGCTCCATAACACTGTGCTATTCGTATGAACACAATTTAATGAAAGTGTTTTCTAAAGGAAATGTAATGAGAGATAGTGGCTTAGTTTACTTCTCTCTTCAATCAAGCTCATGAAATGCAACATAGATAGATACGCCTAGCAAGGATCACAAACACTTAAGGTCAATTAGAAGCCTGATTTCATAAATTTCAAAATAGCGCACACAAAATTGACTTGGCGCGGGCATGGTCAAAATGATCCTAACACTTCAGGCATGTTTCTGTTTGAGAACCAAGGAGAATCAGTAAAGACAACTTCAAATGGATTCAGCTATTCAATTTCAGAATCACATCACAAACATTAGAACATCGATAACAAGATTCAAAAGGATATAGGCTTAAATTAAGAGTAAATGAATTTAAAAAGGGTCCAGATTTCCACTTAGCATACGCAATTCGCATGTTAAACCAACAGAAACCAACGGAGCCCTTGATTTATTTGAAATCCATGTCAAAAACCAAAGAACTTCATGAAAGAATCTGAAGAACCGTGTCGATGGTTCAGACACTTATCTCTTTACATAAACCATTTAGAAACTAACACCAATAACAACAAAATCGAATGGTGAAGGTGGAGGAAATTAAACAGAACTATAATATGGACTATTCAAATCTGTTCTTAATTTTATTCCAGCGATGCGTATACTAATTTAGGACTCTCAAAGAAAAGTTGAACACCAGACTATTGCAGCCAAACAAATGGATATGCAGCCATGAACTAGAGGATGTGCATTTTAACACAAATACATGAACACCAAATTCCGAGCGGACTAACAAAATGGACTCTTCAATGTTTAAAGTTTACATTCAATCCTTCGGGAAAATCAACACATTGAATACTATCAAAACCACAAAAACCACGACTCATCGCGTTTTCAACCAATCATCACGAACAACTAAGAAAGAGCCAAGAAATGAACCTGAAATTTGTGAAATTCTTCACTTAAACTCAGCTAAATCCAGCAATGGATACTTGAAGCAACAGCAGCTGACGAACAGGAATCAAATCAGTGACCAAACTCGAAAGTCGAACTTGATTCCGGCTCAATCAATNTATATATTTATTTATTTATTCTAGAATTTAAAGAAATGAAATTAAACAAAGATGAAAATCCAAAAACGAAAATGAGAGGTTCATAAGAAGACCCTCTTGAAACTTCTCAAGTTTCGAGCAATTTCCCTCTGAAAAAAAATCCTCCCTAATTTCTGACCTCATATTACACAAGAAATGACCTCATGTTATATAGACCTTCAAATCTTCTCGAATCTTCTTCCTCTCCAAGAAAATTCCCAAAACAAAAAAATCCTCTCCCAAACAAATTTCTTACCTTGTTTCTGATGAAAGAGGGACAAATAGAGGGAGTAGATTAGCTCAAATCCAATCTAACGCTCCCCATTTTTCCGAGATAAATCAAAGGAGCATGTGAGGGAGGGAGAATCTGTGAGAAACGGTTACACTATGGCAAGAGGAGAGAAGGTAAAACGCGTGGTGCGGGTTTGGGTTTCACTCGCCTGAATTTTGGCGATTTTTGGGAACGGATTTGGTTGTGTGGAGAAGAAGAACAGTGTTGCGCCGATGGGTCTTGGAGATTAGGGTTCTGGGTCTCTTTTGTTTTTGCGTTTATATTTGGGGATGGGTCAGGTCGGACCGTGGTTAGGCGAGTTGGGGCGGGTAAGGCTGGGGCGGATTGATGTAAAAATTGGGCCTTAGCATTTGGGCCACAATCAACAGCCCTATTTCCTTTCCACTTCTCTCTTTTTCAATTTTCTTAATTAAAAATCCTAAAAATAATTAATTTGGGAAAAACTAAGCTGATCAATTACTAAAATATTTATGAAAAATAATTACTCCTAAATTAAAAGGGAAACTACAAATTTAAAATTAAAAGGCTAAAAATGCAAAATTAAGCCAATTTTCGTGATTTTCATTTTTTAGTAAAGCGCCTAATCTACTAATTAACCTAAAATGTAAAATAAGTCCTAAATGCAAATGCGTGATATTTTTTTGTATTTTTGATTTTCAATGGAAATTAAAAATGCAAATAATTAATAAAATTTCTAAAAAAATCTATAAAATTGCAAATAATGTGAAATTTTATTTTCTTGAATTTATAGGAGTAATTCATATAGGGCAAAAATCACGTGCTCACAACTCCTTGCCTCATTGTTTGGTAAGGCAATTGCTTCAACCCATTTGGACACATAGTCCACAGCTACCAAGATATATTTCATACCACAAGAGCTTACAAAGGGGCCCATAAAATCAATTCCCCACACGTCAAAGATCTCTATCTCCATCACAGAGTGCATTGGCATTTCGTACCTCTTAGAGGTTGATCCTTGCCTTTGACATTGGTCACAAGCCTTGACCATTTAATTGGTATCATGATAAATCGACGGCCAATAATAACCACATTCAAGCACCTTTTCCTCCGTTCGATTGCCCCCATGGTGACCCCCAACCGGTGAGTCGTGGCATGCCTTTAGAATTGGCATAATCTCCTCTTCTGGAACACACCTTCTGATGATGTTATCAGCACAAACACGGAACAAGAATGGTTCTTCCCAATAGTATTGCCGACAATCTCTCAAAAACTTCTTCTTCTAATAAGCTTCCAATCCATCCGGAATAAGGTCGCTAGCCATGTAGTTAGCAATATCAGCGTACCAAGGAGCAAAAGTGTTAGATAATGCCAATATGTGTTCATCCGGGAACACATCGTTGATTTCAAGATCTTCCTTTGGTCTCCCTGCCTCTTCAAGCCTTGATAAATGATCTGCCACTTGATTTTCCGTCCATTTTCGATCTTTGACTTCGAAGTCGAATTCTTGCAACAACAGGACCCACCGAATCAACCTAGGCTTTACATCCTTCTTTGCCATAAGATAGCGAAGAGCAGTATGTGTTTAACCAAAAATCTAAGTCTTTGATCAAAGATAGAAATAAAGAGAAATTCGTGTTACTGATAATCTGGAGATGAAGATAATAGAAGATTTCTGAGAATAATAAAGTAATAAATAGTTTTGTATTTCAGTGTAATCTTAATAATTTTTTGTGTCCCTACAGATGTTGAGTCCTTCTCCTTTTATAGTTGATTCTAGGAGAAGGTGTAATGCCTTTGTCTTAATGAGACAATTATGAGCAATAAATGACATTAAAAGAAACGTTACTCAATCATTCCTATTAAATACAAATTCCCTAACGTATTTGATATTTAATGCTGAATTTGGACTCTTTTGCGTCATCAGATTCATATCTTCAATCCCTTCCGATCTTCGGTCTTTAAATGA